AGAAAAATAACTAATAAGGGTGAGGAAATTTGCATGTCAAAGAGCGGAAATGGAGTAAATTGACGAAATAAGTTACTTCTATGGAGCGATTCAGACGTAGTGGTTAACATCTCATTGCATACCTCTCACGCCAAAGTAACGAGTTCAAATCTCATCCGGACGTCTACGTCAACCATGCGGTCGTGTCTTGTACACAACCCCACCATGTTTTTGTGCATTGATTTATTTGATAAGGCTCAATCGAATTAACTTTACAGAGCCGAGGATTCTTGTTCACTAAACAAAACATCTTAAAAATATAGTCAAAAGGTACAACACAACCAACACTTTATCTTCCGCTACCCAATAAGCCTTCTCGATAATAACGGGAGCCGTTTCCAGTAATTTCATTGCATGGCAGTATCGCCAACGGGGGGCAAAGCGCATCCATTGCAACAAATGGTACCATAATGTTTGCAAATTCAAATACAGCCCTATGTCTTGTGTAAACGAGGATCAGTTCAAACTCACAAAAATATGTGGATTTGAAATAATTTAATTGCTTTAATTTTATTGAATTACAGCGTTCGCTATTTGATGGATTACATATAAAGGACAAATTCAAAAGAGATTCAGTTTATCTGTCATAATTTTGAAACATTAGTTGTGTAGAACTTAAATGTATTTTAAACCGGTACGTTATATGAAATAAATTTTAAATAGTGAATTTTCACTCTATTTACTGTAAATAGACATTATTCAGTAAGTACCTGAAACCTGATTTTGAATGGGATAGGTACTGAATTTTGAAATATGAAAATTGAGTTTCATTAAGGAAATTGAATGTCTCCTTATTTCAAAACAATGGTTGTTTGAAGAAAATTTATAAACTAATAATTTTGAAATTATTAATTAAATTATTAAGCAAAAAACAATCTCGTAGTCCAACGTCAATAATGTGTTTGTGCTTGAGACACAACCCTTCACTTTTTTTTCCATCGTTCCAGTGAGTGGTTATTATATCTGGTGGGTGGTGCTCCTCCCAGACCCCTTCATCTTTTCTATATATTCAAGAATGTGTTGGAACGGGCGTGGTTTTTCAATCTCTATCATATATCGTACTTATCATTGTGACAACATATTGATTTTCTTTCGTGAAACTCCTAGAAACGATAGAGAACTATTATAAGACCACATGTCTACCATGGAATCGGTTTAAATTTATTTTCTATCATTACCATATCAAGTAACACATCAAATCACATTTACTCGATGAAATATGACAAATGGCACACAAAACTACAGTCATAGAGTCATATGGCCACCGTAGAACCGGTTCCGGATATTCTGGATAAAGATGCCACTGTTCTCTTTCATTTTTGGAAGTCCCACGAGAAAAATCAATATGAATGAATGACCGGAATGATGTAAAAAACAGTTGAATAGGCTCAGACATACAACATTTTATTGCAATTTAATTTATGTGTTCTGAGGATTTAGTAGTGAGTGTCATCTTGTGTTCCCCCAAGTTGTTATCTGCCCATCGGTGTACCCCCATGTTTGTCTTTTTCACCAGTTTGTCGCTTAGTTCGAGATCAAGAGCACATTGCCCTCCAAACCTTGTGTTCTCAATCCCTACCCTGCCATCCATTTGATGCAATTTGTTACTCCTAACCTCGAGATAGCTACGAATAATCGGTCCCCGCTGTACTAACGTTAGTTTTAAGTAATTTTGTAATATACATAATGAATATCGGCTCCGCAGAGCTACGAAAAAAGAGCCTGGAAAAATAAACGCATTATAAAAAAAAAACAACATTTTGAAACTAAAAAGTTTGTCCCCGGATTCTACGGGTTGATAAAGCATTTTAAAAAACTCAGAATTCCCTTTAGATTCTATTCCTTTTCTTGAAAGTTTTCTTAAAAATACCTTGAAGTCCTCCTTAGAATTCACTTTCAGTTGTTCGTACAAATCCCTTAAAAAAAGTCTTCTCAATATTTATATGCAGTAATTTGTATGTTTTGTAAATTTTCATTGAATGCTACTCAAGAATTCCCTTGAGAATCTACTCAGAACTATCTTGGAATTATCCTTACGTTTCACCTGGAGCCTGGAATTCCTTAGAACTAATTTGAAAGGAATCCTCAGATTTCAGCTTCCTAAAATTTGACATTTTCCCTTGGAAATTCTCATCAAATTTCAAATCAAATTGTTTGGAGATGCATAACGTCAAATATCAGACGTAAAGTGGACATTTTATACAATAAATGAGGAGATGAAAATATAGAATTGATAGTTCCATTTGAGTACGGCAGTGTGAAAATTGTATATTGTTATCGTTAACTTCACACATGAAGTAATAAAAACATGATTAGCTAAAGTTCAATTCTTCCAAAGGTTAGCAACTCTCTCAATAACAGGGGCAATGAGAAGTACACCATCGAAGGCATTGGATGCTTTGCTTTATATGCTACCATTGCATCAATTAGTACAATCAGAAGCCGAAAAGTGTGCTCTAAGGATTACAAGGTCAGTGAAACTCTTTGAAGTAGACCTTAGAGGACATCTTAGGATTCCAAAAACTGTTAGTATCAACTCTCTAGTAAGGAACAACGATGACTGGATGGAGAAAAGATACAATTTCAATCGGCTTTTGCAACACAGTTCGAAAAAGTAGTGTAAATTTCGGTTCAATATGATGCACATAAATGGAGCGTCACATATCGTATACTTTTGCATTATATATCATATAAAGTTCTGACACATTTCATGCAATGTAGCAAATATTGTATACAATAGCCCATCTTTGTAAACAACATTGTTTGCAAGTTGCTCGGTTGCGTGAAATGAAATACAAGTCTACGTGATTGAATGTTTACATCACAATTAAAATTCAGAATTTTTATCTGTGAAGTATTTGTCCCTGGGCGTTGATTCAAGGCAAATTGGTGGTCCGATTCTTCATACAGGATCGATTGTTTTGCATACAGATGGTTCAAGATTGAACAATCAAGTGGGAGCAGGAGTAACTGCCCCAGGGATAGACATATCGGTTCATATGGGCAGATGGCCAACTGTGTTCCAAGCTGAAATCCAAGCAATTTAGGAGTGTTCTATTATATGTTTGCGTAAAAACTATAAGAGTTCAAATAAATGCATAATGTCCGACAGGCAAGCTGCTCTAAATGCTTTAAAATCAGCGACATGTACATCAAAACTTGTCTGGGAGTGTGTTCAATCACTTCAAAAATTGTCTTGGCATAATCAAGTCAACTTATATTGGGTTCCTGGTCATTGTGGGATTGACGGAAATGAAAGAGCTGATGCACTAGCAAGACTCGGATCTTCTCATAAGTTCATAGGGCCAGAGCCCTTTTGTGGCTTATCGGCTGCATCTCTTAGAATGGAGCTAAAAGCGTGGGAATCTTCAAAAATGGAGGAAAACTGGAAGAACATTTCCATTGTTAGGCAGTCGAAGCGATTCACTAATCCAAACATTTTTGTGACCCACAAAATCCTGGAACTTTCTAAGAAAGATCTTAGCATATATACATTACAGGTTATTGTCCGAGCCGTTATCACTTGAAGCTGATTGGAAAAATTCAAGATGATGCGTGTCGCTTCTGTGGCATATAAAAGGAAGACTCGAAACAATTGCTATGCTACTGTCTGACAATTTTCAATAAAAGGCGTAAGTTCTTCGATAATGGCCCTTTAACATTTGGAAAAACTCCAAGTACGGAAATGTACTTTATTTGAAGTGTAATGCCTTGCTGGGATAATGCTATTCGTCAAAAAAAAGGCAATCACTACTAATAATAGTGATAGGGCATCTTGATATAGCTTTTAAAAAAAAAAAGAATATATCAAAATAGATCAGAAAAATGGTCGCAGTGATGAAAACACCCGACAAGAATAAAAAAAAATCAATTCAAAGTACATAAGCTTTGAAACTTATACAAGGCCCTTAATTTATTTGACAATGAGTTCTTGCTATTAATTCTATGTTCGTAGTCTAGAATATATATTTTCGTTACAGATTCTTGAGAATTTATCCAGGATCAAGGTTTCATAAAATAGTCTATGTTCAAAATCTATATAAATTATCAATGGATCAGAACCTTGAATAAAACAATTAAAGCCTAAGAATTTATGTTGTTACTGAAGATAAATGCACTCCAGAATTATTATGTCATAGATTAAGAATAGCTAACGAGGATGATAAAGTTGGTTGTATTATGAAATATTTTAAAATTCCTGGGAAGGTTCTCTGGTGTGCTTCAATATATCAATATATTCTATTCGAAAATACTACCTTGATAAAAGAATTTGAAAATTGCCTGAGAATTCCCAGGTAGTAGACAGCCAGTCTGAGTTAGTCTCATCGGCCGTGTATAACGCCAGGATGGAAAAGATCTCGTTCATTGCGATGTAACACACCGCACATTAATGTTCTACTTTGTAGCCTATCTCATCGTGTTAATTTTCCATGCTCCGGTCGGGATCCCACATTCCCGGGCGCATAGCAGTAATAACTATATTTATTAAACGTTGCCGTCATTGTATCGAAAGCTGCTTCTCCGGCTGAAAGCCGTAGACGAACACGGATGCTCTCTATTGAACGATAAGCAGTCAGCGATAGCGACCGACGACCAGCAAAATCTCGTCGGAATATGGAATGGGGAAATAGCAACTGCAAACCGCCACCGGTCACATGTGACCTCACCGTCGCTCTCGCTATCCTTGTCTCGCTTCGAGAGCATATTCGCTATCAACGTCGGAGCCATTAGATAACATGCCCCCCTCCCCCCCTAATACCGTTGCGCCAGTTTTCAAAAGCAATTAAAACTTAATCCTAGCTGCCTCCGCAACGCCAACGACGACGGTATGCACAGCCTACATACAGTCGCACTACTCTAAATACCATGCGGTATCCCCCCGGTTGCCATTGTTTATTATTTTCATCTAACCCACTCCCTCTCTCTCTCTCTCTCTCTCTCTCTCTCGCTCTATTCAACAGGCCACCTTAGCGCCGCTATTTCGGATCCAGAAAAATGAACCGCAGTTCCAGCTGCACAGCCTGGAACCGGGCCGGGAGTACCAGCTGTCGGTGTTCGCGGTCAACGCCAAAGGCAAAAGCTACCCTCCGTTCGTGATCGACAAAGTGCGCGTCGGGTCGACCCTGAAACCACCGTACGGTAAGTTTGGTTTTAATAATGTCCAGCTAAAATCAACCAACCAGTGCTGATAGAATTCATTTCTTCGACACTCAACTTAGCTGAAAATGAAGACAACCATAACAGATAGACCAACTACCTGTATGAATTTGAATTTTGACATAGCAGCATTCTCTTGATCAAGGCAACCGCTGACTATCGAAGTCAACATTTTGTTTTTCTTCATTCGTGGCTGGCTGTTCATTATCGTCTCTGTATTCGTCTTCATTTTTGGTGGGGATGATTTTGAGAAAGAACGTGTCTTGTAGGTTTTTACACACAGATCGATGGCAAATAATTGACTCATGCTGAATTTATGATAGTAGGTATCTAGGTTTTAGGCTCTGGGGTCGACAACATTCAAAATAATTATTTTGCTCGAAATGAATTTGATTATTTTGCGTTTTGAGGATCGCTTCTGATTTTAACAATTTTCAGTTGGATAGTCAAGCACTGGTCAAGCACGCGTATTTGTTGATGTACCTGTTGGAGGTAGAAACCTAGCAAGCGACGAATAGTCGAAGCAACGTACAAATAAATGTATTCTCATAGTCTGAAATAAAATGCCATTCCAAGTGTGTCTCTCATCAAGCTAAGACTAGACCTGTGCGCCGCCGCGCCACGCCGCCGCTGCCGACGATTTTCGTACGCCGCCGCCGCCGATGAAATTTAGCCGGCGCGCCGCCGAAGTAAAATCTTCCACGCCGCCGAATAAATTTATGTCACGCCGATGACAAATCCGTAGCACCCTTTAGGTTAAATTTATCTTGAACGCGTTGAAATTAGCGTGTGGTGCAGCGATTGTCATTTAGTCTTTTGACGTTTGTTCGCACTTTCTCGATCTAGCACACAGGAATGAATAATTCAAGTCGGATTTACATAAAGGAGGATAAGTGAATATAGGGTATCCCAGAATGTCTAAGCACGACTTTCGAACACCCCTGCTTGTTTCAGATGCCGTTTAAACAGCTGATTATCACGCTGAATTATTGTTTACATTTCGACCAACAGTTTCGTGTATCGCAAGTTGCGGTTCTTTACATTTCCGTGACAATGCGAAGCATTTCTCCGGAAAAGCGCAAACAGATCGTGCACAAATGATGTACTATACCCATTTTCTTTTAAATATCATTATTAAGGAAACTTTCAGCCCAATTCCCAACATTTCTCTGAGTAAATTAGCGAAATTGGAAGGTGTAAGCATCGGAGCCGTTCGAAACGCGATTCAGAAGTATGGTGATGAAGCAACTTTCCAGGACAAGCAAAAATCTGGAGGTAAACCGAACCCTTTTGACCAAAATCTGAACCGGAAAATCGTGCAAGCTTTCACTCGCAAGAAAAAGCAGGGCTGGTAGCAGGTCACTTTTTAGTGACTTGGTCACTATTTTGAAGCCAGTCACTAAAAAGTTACTTTTTACACCAAAAAGTCACTAAAGTCACTATTTCCCTAAACATAGCCACTAAAGTCACTTTTTCACTACTAAAATAGAGTGAAATTTAAAAATATCAACAATATGTTTAAATTGAGTACTTAGCACTAAAGTCTAAAGTAGTTTTGACAAAATATACATATCTGTTAAAAAAAATTAAAATTTTAAACAGGGTGATCAGTGAACCGCAAAACTTTTGAACACCAGGAAAACTATTGGGAAATGCCTTCAAATTCGATTAAAAATCGGGGAAAATATAGCTCCATTCCCAGAAAATACATTGTAAACCTTGGAAATTTGCCAAATGTATTTGTCTGTGATAGATTTTCAAATGTCTTTCAAGGATGATTAATAACTTTAAAAAATCCAAAGTATATTTTAATAGAATTTTGAAGGATATCAGAGAAGAATACCAAAGTACAGACTACGAAAGTCTCTTGTGAAATTAAGTGCTCTGAGGACCGATTTCTTCATCTCCGCTTAAATCTTAAGCCAGTTTAACCTATATAGTTAAACTTGGCTTAACACATACAAGCGTCGCTTTTGATTATTGTTTAAATTATTAGAGACGCAAAATTTAGCTCCGACACAATTTTGGAAATAATTCCAATATAATTGAGGGTGCATTTAACGAGAGTTCTGAGAAAAATTCTATGATGATTAGTTGAGGATTCTAGGTCCAATTCTAATAAGAATTGAGGGGGTTAGAAAAGGGGTGTAAGTGTGTAAGTGACTTTGATCTATTCTCTTCACCGACTTTTTCTTTTGACAGTCACAGCTTTACAAACAGATTTTGCGCTATTTCTCCCACATAGTTTGATAAAGGAGGTTCTCATCTTGCATCCAGAATGGCACACGAATCAAGGAATTATTATCGAAAGAGAAAGTCGATGAAGAGAAGCGATCAAAGTCACTTACACCCTTTTCCTTCTAACCACTTCAATTCAAAATTAGTTCTGAAATTCTAAAGAGTTCGAAATAAATTCCGAGAATTCCAATGGAATCGAATTTTGAAGGTTCAATCTCGAAGGAATTCTGAGAATAGTTTCAAAGTTATTCTGTGATGGATTTTCATTTTAAGAATTCTGAGAAAAAACTATGGGAATTCTAAGGAGAATATGAATTGAATTTCCAATTGAATGCAGGGGAGAAGTCCATGATTATTCTAACCTGAAATTTATTAAATGTCTCGAAATTCTAAGGAGAATTCAAATAAATTTAAAATGGATTTATGGAATAGGCCTTCAGGGAGTTCCTAGAAGAACCAATATCAAATCGAAAATGATCTACTTTAACTGTTCATGTGTTATTACTTCATGCGTAAATTTAACGATTTACTTAGTAGGAGATGCTTAACGTCAAATATCAGACTTAAAGTTGAGATTTTATGCCATAGATGAGGAGATTAAATTATAGAGTGGATAGTTCCGTTATAATAAGGCAGAGTAAAAATTGTATATACAAAATAGAAAACGAGCAAAGGAAAATTTTGAGGAAAATACGAATCGGGTAGTTGTTTACGTCAGATGGCGACTTGAGTGTGAAACAATCGATAGAACTGTTTCCGCACATCGGAGGTACATGAACAAATCGGCGATCATCCCTTTTGCCAGTGATGGCAGGGGGAAACACCCCTCAGCATCCCTCATTAACGGATGAGCTTGGTAAAGGAGATGCTCTACTCGATTCGTACCTTCCTCAAAATTGTGGTTTGTTCGCTTTCTACTTTCTGTATACAAATTTCACACTGCCGTACTATAACGGAACTATCAACTCTTTACTTTTATCTCCTCATCTATTTTTCACTTTAATTCTGATATTTGATGTTAAGCATTTCCAACTACGAAAATAATCTATTTCAAAGAATCTTGTTGATTGTTCTGCAAAGAATTTAAAAAATGCAGTATCAGTTTTGTTAAAGCTTATATGCCTCTATGTTTAAGAGAAGGGGAATTATTCTAAAATTCTTGAGATCATTCTGATGAAATTAGCGAATTATCAAAGTTATCTACCTAGATATATCAAAATTTTAAATATTTCGAACGCAGAATCAAATACAAGATCATAAAAAAATGAGAATTACTATTTGCTAGTCATCATGTATAACGCTAGCAAAAGTAAATTATTAAAATCATTTCAAATGATCTTCACAGGATATTCCGTTGTGAAATTCGATTAAATTAGAGGAATTTATGAAATTTGATTTTAAGTTCCATGACATAAAAAGTTTATTTCAATATCAAACTGTATGTGAATTTCTAAGTTACCATATAAATGGTTACTTATTTCGTATTTACAAGTCACTATTTGGTCACTATTTCCGTTTATTTAGTCACTAAAGTCACTACTATTATATCGCATCAGCTCTACCAGCCCTGAAAAGGGCTTCGGTTCAAGACGTGGCTAGAAAAGTGGGATCCTCGACAAGTAACGTCCAGCGGGCCAAGGCAAGAATGTGTCTACAGACGTTTAAGAAGCAGAAGAACCCAAAGCGAAGTGAAAAATAAGCCACATCCTTCAAAGCGAGGGCTCGGAAGTTATAGAGAGTTTTGACGTTTAATCGGCGCACACTACTACACCATTTAAATCGAACGAGTACGAGCAAGAGGGAAACAGATTAGTGGGAAAACAAACCGTTAATTCATCCATGTATGCTAGATAGAAAAAGACTATTAAACGTCAAAAAGGTTTATACGACCAGTTGCTGTGCGGAAAATCGGTGTATGAGATTATGGAAGTTGAATCATACGTTAAATTTGATTACAAAACTCTTCGTAGTGATCAGTACTACACCGTTAGTGATAGCCAAAGTGTTTGACGACGCGGATAAGTTGGTTTTTTTTTTCAAAAAAAATCGGTAAAAATGCTATGGGCAAGCCATTCGTGAGTGTGGTATGCTTTCCGAACCGTTTGTGACAACGGAGATAATGACAGCCGATGTTTACGTGCACCGGAAGAAAAAAGTACCCAACGGAAAGTTCACTTTTACCTACTTTTGACTAGTTTGTCTCCTTTTCTCCTTCAAATCTAGGTAGAGCTGGAATTAGGCCCTAACAGCTTTTGTAAACAATGACTTTTCTCGATTATTTCTAGGAATTCAAGCCACGCTCACGCAAACCAACATAACCATTGGTTAGGGGAAGACTTCCCCTACCTGATGGTGATTTTGATTTTCTTGGGCGAGCCTTGAGTTTCTAGAAATCATCGAGAGAAGTCATTGTTTACAAAAGCTGTTACGCCCTAATTCCAGCTCTATCTAGAAATGTTGTCAAAAACGGAGGAGCAAAACCACCCAACAGGGGTAGTAAAGTGTGGGAACCCAACGTTGAGTATAATCATATTTACGTACTGTTGGGTACAACTAACTTACTTTTGGTTAAAAATCCAGTGGAAAATTCCATACGAATTGCACACAAGTAAATGAAATTTACTTTGACCCGCTTTACCTACTTTTGGGTTCCTGCACTATAGTGCCGAGATGAGTGAAAAGAACTTAATTTTGGGTACTTTTTTCTAACCGTGTGCGTGAGTGTTTAAACAAGCGTCTGTTAC